AGCGCAAAAGAAAAATCAAGTCCAGTGAGTGAAGCATCTAATACTTCTGAGGCTTGCTCAAGAAAAATACAGGATAACGATGCTCCTAACACAATACCAATACCACAAAACCAAAATAGCGGTTACAAGCGTGGTCACGTCGAACAAAGAAGTAAAACTTCCTCGTGGAGTTGGTGGTCTTCTTCCTCGAGTGGCCGCTCACCCGTGAACAATAGCCCTGAAGAGAAACATAAGTATAATGATGATGCCTCAACTTATGATAGCGACAAAGATAGTAATAGTTCTTCTGTTGACGTTTCCTCTTCGATAAGAGAGACTCACAGTGAAAATAAAAAATCACACCAATCCGTAGAAATAAATCCCGTAGATTCCGCAGAAAAAAAGGAGCACAAAAAGCTGTCGGATACCGCAACCATCATAGAGGATTCAGAAGAGCATATTGTTAATAAACATATTGTTAATAAAGCTTCCGATCCAAGATCATCATCTTCCTGGTGGCTATTCGGAAACAATCATAACAATAGTCGATCATCCGAAAAATTCGACACTACAACCTTCGTCAACAACACCAAAACTACCATCAACACTAATACGGTAATAGACAACAAATCAACCACAGATCTTTCACAATTAAAAGTAGTTACTAAAGACTCTAGTATCACACAACAAAATGAGGAACCGGATCAGTCAAAAAATCCAATAAAAAGCTCCACCACTTCAATACATAATGGATATTCAACGACGAGGGTAAAAAGAACGTCATCGGATACAAAACGGTGGTCACTGTTCGGTACGTGGTCAGCATCAACATCCACATTGAACTTGTTGGAGAATGATGACAGGAGTGAGAACCACAAGACCGACGATGAAGCTTCCTCGACAGAACCGGACGCTCCTCTATCACGATCATCAACTTTACCTACCACGCTCCCTCCGTCAAACACCACGCCATCGCCTTCCGCCAAGGATTCACAGAAATCATCGACAAATCCTCAAAACAAGCATGAAGCCAACCCATTGGTCCAATCACTCTCCAAAAATAGGCAGTCGTGGTTGGACTTTTTTACAAACGGACCTCCATCTCAAACGAACGTGGCCAGAATAAAAAAGAATTCGAGCA